TAGAGTATTGTTGAAGTTCGTTATAGCGTTTGTTTTAGCGCGAATGTTGAAATCAAGTGTATCGTAAAGTTATATTCAGAAAGAATAAACCAGTTTTATTAAGTAAGGACTTGTGTCGCTAAAGTTTCGTCGGAACGAAGTTACGGAAAATTAACTAAAGACTGGAGACGTAACAATATATTGCACGAAGTAAAATATATTCATATATGCTAAGTTATGAAAAGGTTTACTTTATAATCTGTGTAGCACATATACACTATAGAGAGTGACTTAAACGGATTTACGACAGATTCACAGCAGATAGTACAGTGTGGCTTTGCTCTGAAACAATTAAACCAAACTTAACATTAGTCAGAAATGTATGCTCTATCTGGGATTTCTTTTAATATATTTTTAATCGAATTCGTCTTTATTATTGCTATACAACTTATAAAACACCTAAACAAACAAGCAATACAGTTCAATTCTATTCAATGACTAAAAAGTAAAAGGTTACTCCTAAACAATAAAACAGTTGAAATAAACTTTTAAAGGTTAGATGAAAACAAGAACACTTGTCGAAACATCGTGATTTTTCTCTATTTTGTTTACGTACAGCAGTTATAAAATTTTGTTTATGCAAGCTAAGAAGGAATTGCTCATTTTAAAAAAACCGAAACGCATCATAATAGTAGAAATACAGGGGGCGTTCTCCTGATAAACAGAACTCACTCAGCTCAGATGCCAGTAAGGGGTAAATTAATATGGCTTGTACTTACAAGAATATTAGTACAATTTGTACAAATAGCAGTAGTGGTTACTGAAATTCTAGTTTCCCAGTTTATTTTCTTACTATTTCACTTTCAGGCTGAATTTCATTGTGTGAAAAATTTTAAGTTCATTAAGGTAAACATAACATTTTTTTTTTTTAGTTTACTTTTAATATAGTTTTATGGAAATATAACTAAGTACTAATACTAATAGTAACACTAGTACTAGTAATAATAATATAATAACAAGCCATTAGTAAAATTTAACATTGCGGAGATTAATCATTAATGATTAACAAACGTTATTTTTACGTTAGAGTGTAACTTATTATCAGTGCTGCTATTCATAATTCAGTACTAACTTAGTAGTGGTACTGAAGTGTAATGTAGTACTAATAGTAATTGTAAGTTGTACTAGTTGCCAGACGAAAAGTTCTGGGTTATACTTGCATTGTTATTGTTAAAGAATGGTTGAGCGACAGTGTAATTAATCCGTTGAAAATTTTAAATCACCTATTTTTGGTTTAAATTGAAGTTAAATTCATACAAATACAACCACTGTATAATGATGAAACTTTGTTGAATGGTTGGCAACTGCCTGTTGTAGAAATACAAGTGCAGATGATGACGTTTCGAAAGTCTTCTGCCTTTCGTCTTGTATGAATTTTCCAAGTACTTTGGTAAATTAATTAATTAACAACAAAAAAAAAAAGGCCAAGAACCTTACAAATGACAGAAAGGTCTGTCTATGACATAGAGTGATCGATATGAACTTGTTAATAGGCTATATTTTGATGCACTTGTACATATCTTTATCAGGTTTGTGGTTTTTATTTTAATTTTCAGGATTGATGTCCAGACAGTATAGTACTGTGGGAGGAATCTTTGTTTTCTGAAATGTGTTACTTCTCTGGACCAGGGGTTTCTTTAGATTGCTGTTCTCTAATCTTTGTTGAGGGTTGACTTTTTATTCCTAATGTGAATATGTTCCTTAATCTGTTTTTACAATTATTTTCTTTCACAATTCTTTAACTGTTTCAGTCTTCTTTATGCCAAATTTGATGACTAGAACTGGAGGGCAAGGGGATACAAATATGAATTTTGGCAGTGACGTGTTTACAGGACAAGCAAACCAATCACTGCTTGGTTGGTTAAATTTGGTTTTCAATCCAATAATATAATGATATTGTGTTTTTAAAATTTTGACTTTCATATGTTTAAATGTATCCCTCAAAAGAGTAAAAGAATTAAATCTTCATCAATACACACACAGATCCCCCACCAAAATTTCACCTCCATCACTGACTTTACTGGCAAATATTAAGAATGAAACCTGAGTCACTCTACTTATTCAAGCAAAGCAGTGATATGGTCTGCTTGGTTGTTGCCATAGAAATGAAAACCAAGCATATCTCGAGGATCACGGTCTGATCTTTTTAATGTACATTCAACACGCTTTGAGTGAATTACAGTTTTATTTATGGATATTTATTGATGGTTTTGTGTTACCTTAATTTATTTATTATTTAAAACAATTATAAAGGATGCATTTAACTGTTATGATGGAACTTCCATTTCATTTTCTTAAACAACTGCTCACAACAGATGTTGTAGTATTGGTTCAACTTGCTTGCAAATGCTCTCCTCATCTCATAGCCCCACCTCCACCCCTTATGTATCATTGCTCCCTCCATCATGTTGCTCGTTGCACATCACTGAATTTTGGCAGGGTAGGCATCAACTTCATCCTGAAAAGTTTTACATTTATAACATGGTGGTTGGCCTTTAGAATGTGTTGCCTTTGATGTGGTGGATGTAGTAAAATTAAGTTTAAGGGAAAGCTTGATAAATTTTCAAATGATCAAGGCTGAATTTGAGGTTTTTTTAAGAGGATGGGACAACCTTGATGGAACAACAGGTTTTTCATAGTCCCTTAAATGTTATGCTAATAGCTTATGCAGTAGTTTTCATTGATATTCAGTAAGACTTTATTCTTGCCAAAAGCATTCCAGTTTCTTCCATTTATGAAACTTTACAGGTTTTATAAATGATCCTTCACTTTTCAGGTGAATAGGTTGCTTTACTTGCATTAATATGCTTTATATAATATTACTAGATTGAAAAGGAACTTGAACTTAAAATTTCTAAAGATTTTATTCTGAATATTATAGCTTATTTTTGGAATAAATGGGATGGTGATTCAGTAGATGACTTTAGAGCACTGGTAGGAATGGAGGATTTTGATATAATGGGAATAACTGAAACATGGTT